GGGTTATGGGGTGGATAGTTGGGTTATAGGGTTAAAAAAAGGGTCAAACGGGTAGTTCAATAGGAATAAGACACGTGTAAGCAATTAGGGGTCCGTTAGTGAGAGGGGTATATGTGTACTTATAATTGGACGGAAGGGGCTTATATGGACGCAAAGTATAACGGAGGGCATATACGTACCATTTATTAAAGTTCAGGGGTAAATCCGTCCCTTCTCCCATTTGAATAAAAGAATATGACATTTTCAGATCTCATATGTGTAAAAATAACGATATCTTATAAAAAAAACATAAAACTAATAAATTTTGTAAATGGCTAGAAAATCATTTCTCCCCATGAAATTTTGGGCAAAATTTTGAGTAAAATTTCTAAGTCTTCAGCGAAAATTTATACTATGTTTTGAAAAAACAAACTCATGTTATGTATGGTAAACGAAAATGTCATGTTAGATTTGGTAAATATGACTTTAATTGCGTCATGCCCTTTCAACCATTTCATCAATGTTATAATATAACCCTCTGAGTCTATGATTTTTCTTGACTACGAGGCCGCAGACATATAATATTGAATCTAGCTTGTTTGTGCATATAAGTGACAATGTTGCATGTGTATACTGATCCTTATGTATCCAATATGTGATCGATATCAGTATAACAAAAGAGATATTTAGTAACAATAGATTTTCCTTTTAGCAGTAATATTTAGTGATTGTAGTTGAACAAGAGAAGTCATTTTACTTTGCAATAAGTGATCAGATACTGTACTTTGCAGTTGTTATTTCAACAAGTCAGTGGGAAGTTGCCCTCATTAAATTAGCAATATAGCTATGGAAGTGTTTGTGCTTGATGTCTGCTACTTAAAAGCACTTGCTACATTTGAGCTTTTTATGTGTAGTTTTACATCATTAACCTAAAAGGTCCCTTGCTAAAGTACTTGTATAGAATTGATTGATCTCTTATGTATAGGTTTACATCATTAACCTAAGAGGTCCCATATGTCCTTCCTTAATTTAATGTAAAGAAACTAGGTGAAGCAGAGTAGTAGGTGTGACCTAATGATCAATGAAGTCAGTTGAGAACCATGAGATCTCACGTTCAGATCTCCCAGGAAAGGTAAAAACAACAACATACCTAGTGTAATCCCACAAGTGGACTATGGGAAAGATAGAGTGCCTATAGACCTTACCCCTATTAGAGAGACTATATCTGAAAGACCCTTGACTCAAGTGTCGCTTAGATAAAAACAATGAGTGATTTCTTTCTATCTGTCCAAGCTAGTGGAAGTAGCAATTACCTCGTGGAACTAGTTGAGATGCAAAGAAAACAAACTATGTGAAGTAAAACACTAGGTGCATGCTGTCCTTATGAGGACAAGGTAGCTAGAAGTGATGCTTCATAGACATATTGTTAATAAATTTCACATGCATTTCATCTCATCTATGCTTTTCACAAACCAAATCCTTTGTTCTCCCTAAACTATGTATAAACTTTGCTCTTATCATTTTCTTTCTATATTATAAGATTGTGTGAGTAAAGAATAACAATTTTTAAGGATGTTTATAGGTACAACAAATCGAAACCATATCACGAAGATACTAAAAAAGATCCTCCAATTCTCAAGAAGATCTAGTTTCAAGTTTGCACTCGATGATTGGGACGATGATGCAAACTCATTGCCTCTTCCAAAAGATGTTAAGGAGGGACATTTTGTGGTGCATGCAGTTGATGATGGGAAACAAATGAGGTTTGTAGTTGAAGTTGAGCTATTTGGCGGATCCAGGATTTGTAAGGTTGTTAGAGCAAGCTGAGGAAGAGTTTGGTTTCGAACAAGAAGGAGTACTTGTTTGTAGGCATAGTGACTTGGAAAAATTTCTTGAAAACAAGAACAAGAAATGATCTATCTTTCCTCTTATTAATTTAAACCCCCTTTAAAAGGTTTCTTGATTATATATTATGTTTTTTATAACGGTTATAATCATTTTCTCTCTCTCTATCATTTTGTTGATTGAAAGAAAATAAACGCTTTCACCTGAATAGGTAACAAGAGTATTTACTATGATGATCCGGGGGGTGGGTGCATTCTTATCTAAATTACACATCACAAGTTACATTTCGACCGCTCGACTAAAGGCTTGAGTAATATTTTATGTGAGATAAAATGTAAAATGAGAATATTCGTATTACCATCGTAGAGATTAAGCTATTTAAAAACAAAATGTTCTTTTAGTATACGTTGTAAAATGATATCTTCATTATTAATCACCTCAAACCATTTCATGCACAAATAATCCTCGTATTATGACTCCCGTATAATTAGGAAATTGAACTAAAATAATTGTCTAATACGTTAATATGTTTATACCAATTTTGAAATTTTTCAAGAAAATTTTTTTTAGGAAGAGGCCCTAAAAATAATGGATCTAAAGTAATTTTTAGAAAAAAAATAAAGTAAACGTATTAACGTATTAGAAAATTTTTGAACTAAAGTAAACGTATTAACGTATTAGAAAATTTTTAGTTTCGAAAAAGAGGCCCATTAGTTTAGGAAGAGTCATTCAGAAAAGTAAAACATCAAGTTTAAGTTTATGGATTTTGAATTATAAAATTACGACTTTAAATTTTAATGATTGAGTTTCAAAATTGAATGTTAATTGTCTATACAATTAAACAAACTCTATAATCAAAACAAAGTTTATTGAATTCGACTAAATTCTTATTCAGACTTCTATCTCTGTCCTTGTTTGGAGAGTGTTTAGTTATATATGACATTTCTTTGTTCTTTTCCTCACTTTTGTGAAGAAGGCCCTCTAACGTGTTGCAGGCGTGCAACATTATACAATGGATCTATAGATTTTGTATATGTATTTAGAAATTCACTAAATTATAATTTGATCGTGAGTTAACTTATTCTTATTATATATAGTATTAATTTGAGATCATTATAGAATTGCTTTGTCATAATGAGGGAATGTGGTCTTAATTAATTAAGGAGTAGTAATCTTTTCATTTAAATTTGTTTATTTACTTTCTCTTTAGAATATTTAAAAAGGATGTTTTTTTTTTACCATTTTGAAGATTAACTTTTCACCTGACATATTTAAAAACACAAAATTAAAAGATTTTTTTAATATATGTTTTACAAATTTTTAGTTCACAAAATTTAATTATTTTTATTTTACTTTCTTAAACCCTATATTAAATAAATACAAACAAATTAAAACGGAAATATTTATATCGTTTTCTACTCCCAACACAACACATGGACCTTTCCTAAAATTATTTATTTGTGTACGGACTAAGGTACAATACGGGAGTCTGGACAGCTCAACTATAGTATTGTGGTAGTACGTTTCCATTATTATATCACTAATTAATAGTTTCATACTCCCTCTATCCCAATTTATGTGACACTTTTCATTTTTTGAAAGTCAAACATTTTAAGTTTGACCGAAAATTTGCGCATGGAATCTTCAATTTTTTTGAAATGAAATCCATATATTTGTAAACTACACAAAAAGTACTATAAGTCACAATAATTAATAATTCAAAGTGTTTAAAAGATCTATGAAAAAATCACAATCAAAGAACGACTTGTTTGAATCTCGAAATTTGAAAAGTGCCACATAAAATGGGATGGAGGGAGTATTAGATTTCATGTCAGATACATCTAGATATATGTTTTTTGCTATCAAATATCGTCTGTAATAGGAAAAGAGGCGAGTGAGAACATAAGGGTGGTGAGCGTGAAGTACACTATATACACACTAGATATATGTATTTGTATGTATCCAATGTGATTTCCATATATCTGGAATACCAGATGCATAGGAGAGTGGAGAGCGAGATGGGAAAGAGACGAGGGAGGCGAGCGAGAATTTATTTATGTACTTAAGATACTTGTGAATTCACTTAGATACAGTGTTTATAGAATAAATTACACCTAATTTTGACCCTACGTATCTCGAGATACATGTATATGAACATATCTGGACACACCAAAATTTGATAAGATTCATAATATTACAAACTAGCGTGTATCTAAGTAATTAGCTCCTAAACTGATGAGACTTGGGTATTGTATCCAACGATCCAAACTTGTTTTGTATAAATAAGTTTAAAGTATAAAGTACGCAATTAAAAGTATTTATATATAATTTATACGAATATTAAAAAAAAGGGAATGTGGGATAGGGATATGAGGGAGATGGGAATTGGATTACACGGGTGAGAGTGAAGATGAGGTTTAGTTTTTACATATGAATTTTGGGTCTTGGTGCAATTGCTTTTCTTTTAATTAATTTTTTATTTATTAAATTAGAATTGAAATGCAATAAAACATTTTATCCATCAAAAGTTGGATTTTCAGCCATAGTAATTTTTGTGTTAATATGGTAAAAGTTTTATGATTTTCTGTTAGATAACATAGTTTTATCATTTATTTGTCTTTGATGAAAATTAAGTCATAATTATTTGACCATTTGTAAAAGATAGAAGTATCTAAAATAACCCTAAAGTTGGCGCGAGATATTAGTTTCATTTTCAAATTATTGATATTTTTAGGCATACCCTTTTACATGACTAACTAAACTTAATTAATACATCTTCGATCTTGCAATATGAGTAAAATACACCCCTAAATTCTTGTTAAGTTTAGGGGTACTTTCAACACCTACAAGAGTTTGAGACCACTTGATTTATCATGTGGCAGATTGAGGGTGTATCTAAGTTTAGTTAGTCAAGTAGAGGGATTTTTTTTAAGGCTGTCAATAATTCAAAAACAAAAGTAATAATTTATGTCAAGTTCAGAAGCATTATCTATACTTCTCTCCGTAAAATTTATGCAAAAATAGATAAAAGATAACATCAATGAGAGTACCATAAAGTTTCAAGTTGCAAGAACACACATGGAATGGACCACCCTATTGGGCTAATATTGTTAGCATCTTAGAAGTTTCAATATATATCCTTCAAATTCTTGTATAAATAGCCATCCTAAGCACTTTTTAAAAGCAAAACAAATATATATCCTACCTTACCAAAAACATACATTTATTCAACAATTCTATAATGGGGAAAGAAAGAATTAGTAATTGCATGATCATACTTAAGCTTATCATGAGAAAGCTCAAGAGTACTCATCTTCAACTAATTCCCAAATATTCCAATAAACATCAATTTGATGTTGTGGAAATGGAAACTCCAAGAGAAAATAATGAAGTGGTACCAAATGATGTTAAAGAAGGACACTTTGCTATATTTTCAGTAAATCCAAAGGAAGAGCCAAAGAGGTTTATTGTGGAGCTACATTGTCTCACTAATCCATCATTCTTGAAATTATTAAAACAAGCTGAAGACGAATATGGATTCCAACAAAAGGGTGTTCTTGAAGTTCCTTGTAGCGCCGCGGAATTGGAAAAGATTTTGGGGGCGTCAGCCTTACACACTGAAGATTGGATTGCTTGAATCACGAGTCTTATCATCTCATATTAATAAAAAGTGATTTTGGAAATCTAAGATTGGATATTAAGATAGTTCCTTCTATGCTAGCTAGAGCTAGGTTAAAATTTCAAACATTTTTTTCTTCATTTGGTCTAATTATTTGTCCTACTTTTCTTTTTAGTTTGTTTTTAAAAAGTCTCTTTCCTTGTTTTAGCATCTTTGTAATTTCAACGTGACATGTTTAATTAAGACCATAAAATTAAAAGATATTTTGATATATTTGTCATATCTTTAATTTAATATATCACAAAATTCAGAAGTTTCTTTACTTCCTTAAATTTCGTGCTAAATGAGAAAGTGTTATGCAACTTTCTGTATTACTAGTAAGATGCAAAATGTACTAATAATATTAAGTTATAGAGGTGTGAATCGGTCGGTTCAATTCAATTTTATATATTATCGGTTCGATTTATCGATGTTCGATTTTTAAATACGCTAAATTAATAAGATATTTTTTTCTTGATTTTCGATTTATCAATTTTGGTCTATAACGGTTCGATTTTCGATTTAACCAATAAAAAAATGATTATAAAACAAACATATGACTTCTCCTACAATTTGACGCCGCAAGATAACAATGTAACTTTACATAATGCTCATAAAATAGAAACAATAATAACTAAAATGAAAAGAACTATACAAGTGCAACACAAAGAGAAATTAAGAGGAATAATGTTCTTACTTTAGGTTTTGACGTTTTGTATAATGTAAAGTTGTTAACTCAAAGTCAGTGTGAAGTATGAATTGAAGACTAAAAGGCAAAGACAGTAACCAATAAGATATTGAGATTAATATTTATCTAGGGGCAAAGTAATAAATTACTACAATCTTAATGGGTTATCGATTTGCCCAATAAACCAATATTAAAAAACTAAAATCAAATTGATAACTTGATAAAAAAAATTTAAAAACATTAAAAATCCATTAACCTAATAACCCAATAGCAATAAATCAATAACATTTTCAATTTATTTTATCGGTCGATTTGATTTTTCGCACACCCAACTCAAACTATTAAAAGTTTAATATTGATCCGATTCGCAATTAAAAAAAAGAAGAGAGAGGGATATTTGATATCAGATACATAAAAAAATAGATATATAGGAATAGAGGCGAGTGAGAGTCAATATATTTCAGATACACGAAAATTATGATTGAATACAATATATCTTAAATAAATTATAGTACTTAATTTGATCCGCATGTATTCGAGATATGTGTAATTAAGTACGCTAGATGCATGCATCTATAAACGATGTGAGACTCCCAAAAAAAAGGGACAAATTAAGTAATGATTCATTAAATATTCTCTTGTCCATTAATAGGACATTGCATTTTCTGTATCCTACTGTTAGCCAACACTCTCTCATTCACAGGTAAAGCAATACTTTTCACTATTTCTTCAAATGTTTGTAACATGATTTAATCATTTACTTATTATTTTTTCTCAACAATTTGATATGAATCTTACCTATTTCTTTAATATATAATCATAAAGTACAACTTTTTAATTCTATTCTAAACATGGTTGAAATGAATTTAAGTTCTTATTATGCTATAGAGAATAGCATAAGAACGATTAAATTAGGAACACATTCTGTTAGCTCAAAATTATTAACTAAAATTGGAAGAGTGAACTTAAGAGACGAGGATTTGTAATTGATTTGAATTTGGTGGATTATAAATAACTAAAGATTATTCGTGTGTACTTATGTGGAACGAGTCTAGATAAAAAGATATAGTCAATTCTATCGTTCTTACAAATATCTAACACACAAAAATATCTGCACTTTTTAAAAAGTTCTCTTAAATATATGTTATACTTTATTTTTTTAAAATTAAGTTTAAAATAAAATTTATATTATTTTGACGATATAAATTGATATATTATAAAGTGGATAAATTAGTTCGATTTGATTTTATTTTTGATTGGGACAAGTTAATTGTACATAAGACATGGATAGGGAACAAAAGGACCAATAATTTTAGGAATAGTACTCATTCTAGTGAACAACTTCATGTGAGTGAAACGGTCAATTTGGTGCATGCAACTATGTAAGTATCCCGCGTTAGTTAGACATGTAACTTTTCTTCTTTTATGCAAGCATTAATGACTCATTTTATAGCTCGCGCAATCAATTTGTAAGAAAAAAGTCCTTCAATATTTTCATGTAAGGTTGTAAAGAAATAGATCTTGGACCTAACGTAAGCTTATGAGAGGAGGATTGTTCAAGACCATATATATATAAGGAGACTATTTATTCTTTTTATATTCTTCATCTGTCCAACAATAGTTGTACACTATTGACTTGACATATACCTTAAGAAACAATAAATAACAGGAGTAATATTACTATATTACCCCCTTTGAATATATTAAATTTAATGTTTTGAAAAATGTATTAGATGTTGAATAGTATTTAATACCAAGGGTAAATCACAAAAACATAAATTATCTCTTGATTATTCAAACTGAATAAATATTGTTGGCAACTATTTTAAAATAGTGGACAAATAAAAATGGACATGGAAAATATATATAACGTGAGACTCAATAACCCACCTTTACGTCCGAATCTGAACATCTAAAATGTGAACAATTTAATATAAAAGCTCACCATCAATAAACAATAATTGAGATAAATCTTATTTTAATCATGAGAAATGACTGGTTAATATTTATCTTTAGCTCATTTAATTCCTTAATTATATTCCCAACAAAATCAAAATTGTCAAATCAGTAAATGCTTTACCACTGTGTATGTATCATTTTTCCTATACATACACAGTACGTGGTAGAAGAATAAATGCTTTTCTGCTGTATTTGATTTCCATTCAACCGGACACATCACTATTTGATTTTCCAAATACTATAAGGTTAGTCTATTCGTTTCAAAATTAGTGGTGTTTTCATCTTCTTATTTTGTTTTAAAAGAGAAATATTTTTGAATTTAGCATAAATTATTAATTTTATTTGTGAAGAATTTTTTTAATAAATAAATGATATTATTTAAAAAATATGCGGTGTATGTTATTCACTAGAGTTCATTAAGTCAAACATTTACTTAAATTAATGATATAAATATCTTTAACATTATTACTCCAAACTTATTAAACTCCAAAAAAGATATTTTTTATGAAAGGAAACCCTGTTGCCCTTTTGTTCGATTTCGACAAGTTGATTGTACCTAAGATAGATATCGGATAATTGAGGGAAAATTATATGAAATAACAAACTATTAATTCAAATTAAATGTTATAGTCATAGTTTATTTTAATTGTAATTTGCAGTAAACATCCCCTTTTTTGTCATCTGATTCGGTATACAATTAGTCATTTTCGATATACAATTAGTCATTTTATACATTTCGGTATAAAATATATAAAATGTGTTTGTATTTGTATAAAGCGAGAGAAAAGTGTATATACAAATACAAATACA